GTACAGAGTGGAGACCCAAAGCCCATCTGTAGGCAACTGGACATCCCCTTACAGAAGGGTTGCGGGGAGGAGATGAGCCAGTCAGGGTGTAGTATAGCACTGATGAAACATACAACTTTCCTCTAGTTCTTTAATGTTTCCTCCCTCCCCCCACCAACCCCTATCATGATCCCAATCCTACCTTACAAATCCGGTTAGACCAGAGGATGTACAGTGGTACAGATCAGAGGTGAAAACACAGGGAAACCAGGACAGATAAACCCTTCAGTACCAATAATGATAGTAGAGATACCAGGTAAAGGGAAATTGAGGGGAAAAATGGGGAACCAACCACAATGATCTATCTATAACCCCCTCCCAGAGGGGTGGACAAACAGAAAAGTGGGTGATTGAAGACATTGGACGGTGTAAGACATGAAAAAATAATAATTTATAAGTTATCAAGGGTTCATGAGGGAGGGAGGGGGTTGGGGAAGGAGGGGAAAAATGAGGAGCTGATACCAAGGGCTCAAGTAGAAAGAAAATGTTCTGAGAATGATGATGGCAAGAAATGTACAAATGTGCTTGACACAAAAAGTGATTTTTAAAAAATGTTCTTACCTGGGCAATAGCTTTCAAGATTAATGTGTCACCCCTCTTGTTAGCCATTGACGCTTTGCATTCTAAATATTAGATTTTGAATCTCTATAATATGATCTATTGAAAAACAGAAGATTCTAGTCTTTAGTATCAGAAAAGAATATTTTTCCTTAAAATCAACCCAGTTCAATATTTAAACATTAAAGTATCATCAGTAATATCATGTGAATTAGCATTCTTAATGATTTTTTCCTTCAAACTGCAGTCATTTTATTTCTTTAAAAAAATGTAGCAAATAAGAAACAAAAAATATAGATGCAAGGTTTTATGTGGACATAAATTAATGCCCTACTTCTGTGCTTAAAGTAAATGACTACTTTGCGGGATGTTTTGTGCAAATTCTTACTAAATTATCTTTATCACTGTTGCTAGGTAACACCACTGCTTTTCCAGCAGCAGAAAAATAGAGTTACTGGGAGCAATTCCCCATGATTAGCGTTTGGCTAATAAAGTGTTTTAAAAACCGTATGCCTTAGCATTTTTGGTTCTTTTCTAGGGAATATCATTGTCTATGGGAATACAATCGACACTTACACCACCGTGGAAATGCTCTTAAGCCTTGGTGTGACGGGCTCCAACATCCACCTCGTGCAGCCTCCGTGCACCTCCACCATCACCTGTATTAACAACTACTCAGTGAAAAGTGCAGTGGAAGATGCACTTAGCGAAGCAAAAGTCACCATCTACCAGGAAGCACTCCTGGCACAGTGGAATGACGGCCAGTACCCAGACCCCATCAAATGGGCCAGTTTCACCACGCCCACAAAACCTTTCAGACTTCAGTGCTCTGTGAGTACCCCCTGTGTGCAACTGGAGTGGTCTCTGTGAACGTCACTCACTGAGCGAGAAGTTGGGAAAATAGTCATCCGCCAGGGACCTAGGGGTCTGAAGAGATACTGGGAGTGGATTTATAATCACACATTTGGTTTTGCTTTCTGTTTATTTATCTATTGCAGAGTAACAAACCACCCCAATCTTAGTGATATAAAACAACAGTAAATTATTGATATCTCTCTTGGTTTGGGAGGTAGACCAGGCTTACGTGGGAGTTATGGAAGTACTTGGGGTGTGGGGATCTCCCATGAAGTTGCACTTAGGTAGTGACTAGAACTGGGGTCATCGAGAAGGCTGCTGACTCACACATCAGGTTGTTGACCCTGGCTCAACTCCAACTGCAATTTGGGCCAGACTACTTTTACAATGACACTGAGGTTCCTCACAAGTTGGCATCTGGGTTCTAAGAGCAAAAGTCCTGGGAGAGAGAGAGAGAGAGGAAGAGAGAGAGGGAGAGGGAGAG